GGATAAAGTTTATAGTCCAATAGTCCATTAAAATTTGGAATTGGAATGGACTAAGTCCAATAGTCCAATAGTCCAATGGTCCACGAGTCCATTAGTCCAAAAGGCCAACACTGCTCTAGCTCAGATTATAAATATTAATTGTTTGTTTCTTGTCTCTTTTAAATCTGTCTCTGAATCTTTAGGTAAATGATAATGATTATCTCTTAAGATTAACAATAATTGTTTCTTGTCATACTTTGAAATCCGCTTATCACCCAAATCAAAAAGTGAATTAGCACCTTTAATTCTTTGGGCTTTTTTATATTAAAAATATCAAATATTAATTGAAGTTATTTTTTTTAAAAATATAAAATTTTGATTATATTTACCTTACTAGTATGACTGTTTTTATGTAAACACTAATTATTACGATCTAAAGTATTGCATTGTTTATACAATAAATGAACTTATTGATATCTATAGAAAGAGCTAAGCCACTTCTTGACTTATTTGTATATCATTTTGAATATTTTTAACATATTGACGAGATGCGGTATTACTTTTTGTAATATTTTAGTATTTTTTCACTGCTGAACTTAAGATCATATCTTATTTCGAAATTAGTCAGTAGTGTTTTTAAAATCATTCTCAATTTAATCTAAATTATAAAAAAAATAAAGCCAAATTAAGTTAATTTGATTGATGTAGATTATAGTCATTATATTAGAATCGAATCAGAAATAAATTCTTTTGCAGAACCAAATTATTTATAAATATGGTATTGGGTATTCGTGAGCCTTAAATACTTTATCGATAGATAAATAATAATTCTTGGCACATAAATACTTGAAAAAGAATTCTCATTGTTGACTGGGTTTCTGTAAAGAAGAATCATATAATTTAATTCAGTCCTTTGAATTAATTACAAAACTTTATCACAATCACGCCTGTATTAAGACACATTAAAAGGAAGTAACAAATGAATAACAAATATCTTTATTGAACTCTTGGTTTATTCCCAATAGAGTTATATTATTCAACTCAAGAAAATGTTACAAAATAAACTATTAATAAAAATATGTAATAAATATGTTCTATATAATATACATGATAAAATAATATAATACAAAACTAATTAAATCAGGTGATCGCCGATCACGGAATCGAAGACCGAAATACTGACTATAATACATCTTATTTTTCATTAATCCTTTCTTAATTTTGCATATATTCTCGTCTCCTGATTAATAAACATATTAGAGGATTTTTTTTAACCGGTTAAAATATTTAATCTTAACTCTGGCCAAAATTTAATTTTCGGGCAGAATTAAAGTTTTTTGTGATTACAAAATTTCGCTAGTTTTGCCCAAATTTATAGTGCCGGCCTGAGTTAAATTTAACCGGCATGTTAATTAACTGGCTAAGGATTTTTGGGCCAGTTCCAACCTCTAAAACATATTCCGTACTGATTGAAAGAAAAAAATGCTTATTTTTTTTTTTTGAAACGGAGGAAACATAATGGTACGAAACCTAATATAAGCATCGTTCATTTCTTATTTTCTGCTACATTACCTCTTCATATAATAATGTCTTCAAATCATAACTGAATACACCTTTCAAGAAACAATCAAAGAAATAGACCTGATCGGACAATCTGAATCAAATTTCAAACATCCCTCATCAGAATGTAGATAATCTTTGCTGCATGAGTTTTTAATGGGTTTTCCTGTTAAAACAAATATCTTTTTCTTCAATCATGCGTCATATACCAATTTTCATTTTGATTTTATCGTTGAGATCAACTATGACTGTACGTGACTTAGACCATTACAAATTTTCATTTTTCTCTTCTCATTTTTAATATTTATTAATTTAATTAACATTTTTTTATGTTAATACATTCATTTTACATCATAAAAGAAGACTAATATTTTATAGAACCAGTACGGTACGATATTCTCTTTTTCAAATTCGTGGAACCTTACTAGGCTTATAATAGAAGACATTTATACGGGTGTGTTGAATTTACAAAAAAATTTTTTTTTGATACGTTCAGACGCTAAGTTAAATTTTTATTAAGTTCCATATAATATTGTTGTTATTGTTATGATTTAGAGGTTGGAACTGGCCCAAAAATCCTTAACCGTTTAATAACTGGTTAAAAAATACTTTAACCGGTTTGATTTTCACATACCGGTTTTAAACGCTTTTTTAATGAGACCCAAAATTTTAAACCGAATTTATATAAACCTATTCAACCGTCATTACGCTGTAATAAAACCGAAAAACCAATTGCAATAAAATTATTATGACATATAATCTTAACGATTCGTAAGGATCTAACAAGAAATAGTATAATTCTACATATTTGCACGAAATAAATGGAATAATCAATATCTAATTATCATATGTCAAATGCATAAAACAGGTTTAATTGATCACCCGGTTTCATTAAATTCGAATTTGATTTTATTAAAATCCGGTTCCCGGTATTAATGTTATGTTGCAACCGGCCGGTTTAAACCGAATTTAAATCGATTTACACCAACCGGTTCATAACTCTAATTTAACGGTTAAAAAAATCTTTATCCGGTTATCAAGGTAATCGTCTAAACCAGTTCAAACCTCTATTATTATTATGTATATGGATGCATCATCGTAAATTTAGATATATATGTCCAAATTAGAAGGTCTGTTCAGCAAATAGATATGAATTCGTATTGATAAAAAAAATTGTACCGTACTTAATTAGACAATCATACCATAAATAAATTAATATCTCGGTACGATCATATATTTACGGTTCTTAGCGGAAACTATTATTCCGTAAGGCGAATTTAATAGCCGATCACCCGATGGACACAATAAAATACCGATTTTGCAGATTAAGCGCCAGTAGATCTGCAAATCGTTCAGGCGACCATAACCGTTCTGAGTCTCCCTATATCTCATCTATTATAAAGATAACAAAGTAATTGATTAACATTTCACTTGGACTTGGATTGGCCAGCTTAATCATTGTTAGAGATTTCCCTATGCAAAACTGACGACGTTGATTGGTTTGGTGTACTCGGTATTTGCTATTTTCACCCATTTTATAAATTTTATTTATAAAAATTAATCAACGCGAGATTAATGCTACCTAATTAATACTTGTAGTGAACCGACAATATACATACATAAAAGGAACTAATTTATACATAAAATATTGCACATGCTTTGTTCTAATCTTTAGTATGAATAAAAAAATAGATTTGATCATTAATTTATTAGTAAAACTTTATTATAAAATAAAAATGCCTAGAGTCTAGCATAGTTTATTACCGATTGAAACTTACGGGGTTAACCAAGGAGATATGGGAGCTTGTCAATAGAAAGGAGGAAATCTAAAAAAAAATTAAAATTTTACTTCATATGCTAAATATGATTTTTTTAGTAAAATAAGTCCAGATTTAACATTAACTCATAAAAAATTTTTTTAGATTTCCCCCTTTCTATTGACAAGCTCCCATATATTTTACAGCACCAAATCGTATAAAATACAATACTAGTCAATTGACATGCCAATTACTTTTGGCAGATCGTGAAACTAAAATTTATTCATTTTCAACATTAAGTTTTTCATCAATTTTCAAAGGTAAGCTTTATTCGGTTAATGGACTTGATGATATATTCATTCTCATAAGAATCCTGAATTTTTGACAAAAACAATTTGGGTAAAATTTTATTGCGGAACGTTCAATCGACGAAATGAATAATTTTTTTATAAAAATGAAGCAAAGATTTTTAAATTTGGGATTTTAAACCATTTATTAATTAATTATAATTCATAAAATGAGAATATTAATAATAAAAATAGCAAAATAGCAAAATACAAAAATTAAACAATTCAATTTATTCGTAAATCATACATCAATTTTTATTCATAAATCATATAATATAAATCAATATATTTTACAAACTTTAATATAATTACAAATTTTCAATAATTTTTATCGTAAAACATTAAATCTTAAAATAAACATAATAAAAATTCAGATTAAATCAATTAAATTTTGTTCATATAAACATTAAAACCATAAATCTTAAATATTAATAATAAATGATTAAATTATTCATTAATCATAAAATATTAAGTGAATTGGTATTATATTTTAAAAAATAAAATTTTTTTGGCGGAAAGTGTCTAAAGGTAATTATATTAGCCAATTTATCAAATGAACTTTCTGTAGAATTTGTTGATGTTACAGAAATGGCTAAATACTCTTTGGCTACCTTACTTAAATATGGAAATTTCTTTTCATTATTTTCCCACCAAAATAATGGCAAGATCTCCCTATTAGCCTTAATTTTCAAATAAATATCAATTTCATTCACTTCCTCCTCATCAGAACTTTCATCATCTTCCATTATCATTTTCATGATGGATTTATTATTTAATAAATCTTCGTTATTTTGTGATTCCGATTTATTTTCAACCTTATTGTTTGCATTATAAATTTTATATCTATCATTGAGCAAAATAGTTGCCCTTTGTCTTTGAGCCTCGGTAAATCTTTTTAACTTTTTGGTTCGAGGATCCAAAATGACGGCAAAGAGCCCAACGTCCGATGAAACAGACCAATACTTATTTAATGTAATATCTAACATTTTTAGAACCGAAGAGACCAACCCATCTGCTTTGGCCGGTTCGGAGATATTTAAAACTTGTTTAGAACTTTTTCCTACAATGCGAACTACGTCATCTTCCATATCAGTTGTAATCTCTTCAAATCCATTCAAGATTTCATTTTGAATATCCGTCATTTCATTATCAATAAATGAATCTGCAATCATATTAGAATCCTTGAAACTTTGATCATTCGGATATTTATCCAGCATTTCTTTAATGTGATTTTTCAAAGTAAGAATCATAGGATGTACCAATGACATGGTGATAAAATTCGATCCGTCTAAAAATCTGGTAATTTCTTCAAATTTCCCCAAAATCTTAACCAAATTATCCATAAGAACCCATTCATCATCATCCAACATTATTCTTTTCAAAGCATTTCTTTCTTCCAACTCAAGAACTGAATTATTTTCATTACATAAATAGGTCAAGGCTTTTCTCAGAATTAACAATTTCTCCCAGGAATAAAAAGCGGAATTCCATCTAGTTGGAATTTCCTTAACCTTTTTATAAACACTTGTATAATGCAATGCTTCTTGTGCCTTTATCAGACTCTCCAATTGCTTGGGCGAATTAAAAAAATATACTAATCTTTTCACTCTCAAAATAAAAATTTGCATATTTTGATTGATATTCATGGCTTTTGCTATTACAAATTGAAGCGTGTGAGAAACGCATGGAATTCGTTCAACGTTAAATTCTTCTCCCAACAACTTAATTGCTTCAATCATACAAGCGACATTTTCGGTTGTTATAAACGATACTTTATTAGAGATATTCCATTCATATAAGATTTCTTTTATCTTTTCTTTTATTGATAATGAAGTAAATGGAAAATCGATCACTTCCAAAGTTAAAAAGGCTTCTTGTGGTTTATAAGTATTTGAAATCCAATTTGCCGTTAATGCAATAATACCATGCCCTTTACAAATCCAGAAATTACAAGTTAAACAGATATTATCTATTTCTTCAAATATTTTTTTTAAATCATCTATTGCTTTTTCAAATAAATTATTGCAAAGATGTCTTAAAGTTTCTTCATTTGGAAATTCAAATAATGGATTCAAACAGGAAATAAACTCTTTAAGATATCCACAATTCAAAGAAGCGCCGTTATTAATGAGAAGTTTTATATATTTCTTTCTTAAGCAAAGAATTTGATCTTCATTCATTGGAATTACTTGCGCATTTGGATCCTTTTGACCTAGAGCCTTAAGCTAATTAAAATAAATAGATAAAAAATTAAAGCATATATAGATTTTGATTAAATAATAATAATAATAATAATAAAAGACCTTTCGCTTACCCTTTCTTCCTCTGTAAAATTGTTAATGCCGTGCGTCTTGGATAAATGATTGATCATATTTGTCGTAGTCGTACCGATTTTCATTTTATGGTTACATTTACCTTCGGGATACTTTATTGAAACTTGTACGGGTACTTGACAATAATTCGCATCTTCTAAGGTAATGAAATATTTCCAAACAAAACTCTGCTTTGGCCTTCCTTTATTGGATTCAGGTTTATGCCTTTTTAACGGTCTATCAGAATCATTAGGTGGGATCAATGAATTTTTAGGAGATAGACTATTATCTACAATTTCCATATCATCATACGAAGAGTGGGTTTTAACAGGAGATACACTACTCTCGACGATTTCCATATAATCTTGCTCCGAGTTTCGACCGGAACTTTGATCCATTAAAAATTGTTATACGTTCTACGTAATTAACTATTTTTTTTTTTTTTTTTTGTTTTTTTTTTTTAATAGAAAGGATTTTTTTTTGCGATAAATCCGTTAAAAAAAATCCGTCTTAATTTATATCAAATTTTGTATATATGGACGTGAAACAAAAATACAAAAATGATGATCGATATTCGATTTTTTAAATAAACTTCATAAAATGAAGCAAATAAAAAAAAAAAAAATTTGTTTTGGGGAATAAGGTTTTCACTCTAAAAAAAGGTAAAATCCGGAAAATTTCCTTATTCTTGTACATTACGATTTGGCATTTATATATAATTCGTATCCAAAAATCAATTCCCGATTTGCGTGTTACAGATATCCGGAATGTTCTTGCCTTTTTCGAACGTCGTATTAACAAAGCGAATATTCGGAAGCTCAGCCAATGAAGCTTGTTTCATTATGATTAGCCTAAAAATTTAGTTTTTTAATCAGTAACTTATACTTATCTGTTTTTATTCAGGATGAACATTAAAAGTTTCATAATTCATATCTGTGTGTGAATCGTCAGTAAACCAAAATAAAACGCCTTGTCTTAATGATATCGCTCTTCTTTTTTTTTTTTATATTTAAAATATATATATTTTAAAATATATTTGTCTAAAGGGAAGGGCTGATCATCATCATATGAACATTTCGCGTTTATCCGAATATAATCATTTGCTTGTTACCAATTTCAAAATTTGATTATGTAAATAATAATTGATTGTGCACGATATTGATTGATATAGTCACATGTAAAATAAAATTCATTATAAGATGCAGCCGATATTAATTTTTCGAACGAATAATTTTTTAATTGAAAATTATGATCACTCAATTACATTGTGAATTTTTACCTAAAACGGAATGTTGGTGGATAAATATATATATATATATTTTAAAAAAATATATATATATATAACTTTACGATTCGAATCTGTCATTTGAATTGATTATTTTGTTATTCGAATCGTTTTCGAACAAAGGCTCTAATTTCGAACCACTTAGTAACATAATCTTTGTCAATTAAATAAGGAGTGGAGATCTCAAATTTAATAGCCAATTCTTGGCTCATTAATTAAACCTTAATTAAATAAGAGGATGGAAATCTCAAATTAAATCGACAAATTTTCTTGGCTCATTGGTTAATTAAACTTTATATTGAGTTAAAATAAAAAAATTTTTTGATCATCAAAATGGGCCTACATTGAGGTTGTAGTAACCGATCACCAGAAAATCAAACTTACTGTTTATATTATATGTTTCATATATTAATTGTAATTACCATTAAAACAATTGGTCTTTTTTTTTCAAATAACCACGTGTTTATTTGAAATGATTCTCAATTCGTGAATAATTTAGAGAATCGAATTTAAGGGCACACTTTTATAAAATTAACCCGAATAAATCGGGTCGAAGAACAATGGCGGGCCGGTTGACTTAGCCAACCGATATTTTCAATAAATTCTATATTTAATAAATCATTCAATGACCTTACTACATACAATTTTATAGTTCATGCGATTTTGTTCCTGCAAATAATTATTGCATAAAAAAAAAAAATCCTTAATCAATAAAATAAGACAATATTTTTTATATTAAATCATTTTTGATATTCAATGTTTGTTGATATTTAAAATGACTTTTGATATTCGATGATTTTTGATATTCAATATGACTTTTTGATATCCGATAATTAATTTTTGATATTCAATATGACATTTGATTTTAATATTCGAAATATTCAAATAAATCATTGATATTCTTTTTATTTATTTTAATATAATTTTTTGATATATTAAATTTATTAAAAATAAAAATATATTGTAATAATATATTAAAAAAAAAAAAAATACATTTTAAATAGTAATAATAAATAGGAAATTAAAAATATAAAAATAAATTATAATTATACTAATAATAATAATAATAAAGTAATAAATTTTTAATATTTAAACTTTATGATAAAATGATTATACTTCTGTCCAAAAAAAATAGATGGGATTCTCAACGAAATCGCTTTTTTTTTTAAAAAAAAAAAAATTGTGAAATTTAAAAATTTCATTCTATATTAGGATCGTCAAAAAGTTCCTTAATAAAAAAAAAAAAAATTTTTTTCGAAGAAAAAAAAAGAAATACCTTAATAAAAAGTAAATAAATCGAGGGAGGAAAATCAGTACGAATCGTCTGATCAGTACGGTACAAAATATATGTACTGGTCAATAATATTATAGAATCAGTACGGTACGATTATAATCTGAAAATTCGTTCTGATTAGCAAAATCGTACCATACTGATCAGCCGAACTGTACCGTACCGACCGAAGACCTGCCTTGTGGACCGGTTCATTAACCGATTTGCGGACCGGTTTTGCCAGGATAAACACATCCCATCCCTATAAATTAATCGAATCGATTAAATTAACCGGACAAATTAACCGGTTAAATTATTATTGATCATCCAAAAACTTCCGCATGCAAGTTTATTGAAAAAGCTTTTGCAACATGCAAGTCGCATAAAATAAAATTTCTGCATGCAAGCCACATATTATATTAACCAATTAAATTTAAAGTTTTGTAAAACCACATGGGAAAAGTCAAGATATTGTATCAAAGAATTCAAAAAAGGCACTATTGAAAATTTTAAAAGGCGTTTATTTTTTTATTTTTTTATTCAAACTTTGTTTTTAATTTTTTTATTTTAACATTTTTTTTTTCGTTTTTTAAAAGAATTCACGTTATAATTTAAAACTTCCTTATTTTCCTCTCATAAAACATAAAAATTTTTTATTTTTGTAATTTTTTTTTTTAAATTTTTTTAAAGAATAATGAGTGATGAATTTTTTGAATATAGAAAGATATTGAAGGATCTCAATCTGGGTCTTCAATTACACAATCATCTGCATCTTCTACTTCAATTCTTAATTTCAGTTCCTACTTGTCAAACTAAAAAATTAAAAAAGTGGACAAAGTATAGTATGAAAGTATTCTAATAAAATGAATGATAAAAAAGTATATTGTATAATACCTGTAATAAAACGTGAAAATGAAGAATTATGCGATATCTTTTATAAGTTTATGGGTCCTACTTCAAATTTAAATATCATTTAAATACAATTCATAATATAAATAATAATAATGAGGAAAATAAGGTAATATAATTATATACAATTAATATATTAATTTAATTAAATCATGTATGAAAAAAAAAAAACAAACAAAAATTAGTTAAATGTTTAATAAAACAAAACCTCACAACAATATAAATTAAATATAGCATTACTTGAATTTATTATTATTAATTCTCAACCTTTAATATATTAAAAAGTGGTGGATTTAAAAAATTTCTTTTTAAACTTGACTTAACATTAGTATACCTTGTGACAAAACTATTAAAATCTTAATTTCAGAAATATATAAAGTTGAAATTAAAAATTTATTACCATTAATTATTAATTCTTGTGATTTTATTTCAATTACAACTGATTTATGGATAGCAAAAAGCAAAACAGAATATATAAAAATAACTGGTCATTGGTTAGATAAAAATTTTAAAACATGTTATTTTAATTAGTTTTGAAAAAGTTTCTTATCCACATATAATTAATGTTATTGCAACTTATTTAGAAAGATATATTGAGAATTATAATTTTTAAAAATGTTATTTATATAATTACTGATAACAGCAATAACATGAAAGTAGTAATTAATATTTTAAATAATAATAATATTAATATTTAAAGATTCCATATATAGCAAATAAATAACAATTAATAGTTACAATTAGTAAACAAGTTAAAAAATATCAAAAAGTAAATAAATTATTTTTATCTCTAAAACAATCTAAAAGATCTAAAGAATTATAGTAAAAAAATAATAAAAAGCAGAAATTCTAATGATTAAGAATCTATTGAAATTATTATAACAAATATACTTAAAAATATTAATGAAGTTCAAACCTTTTGAAATTCTAAATATAATTCATTGAAAAGATTTTTTTGACAATGATTAGCAGAGTTAGACTATATTTTAACCAATATTCAATAGTTTAAAAAAGTGATAAAATGGATTATTTCAATTAATAAAGAATTTAAAAAGAATATAAAGGTAGTAGTAGTAATAATAAAATTTCTGTGATTATAATATTTATATGATTATTATTATTTTAGAATTTGTAATACTTTTTAATTATTACTTTTATTACTTGTTTGATGTAAAAAGTTCAAATGTGATTAAAGTTTTCTTTTTTAATATTACAGTAATAATATTATTAGAAAGGATTATAAATACTAGATTATATAGATTTCATGAATTTAATAGTTGAAAAAATTTGAGACTTCTATATTATACTTAAGATTTTTAAAAAAGTTTCACTTCTCAACCTAATTCATTAAATAGAAATGTTAATAAATAATTTATTGAAAAATGATATATAAGTAATTAATTATTAAATAACCTTATAGATCATATGGGGTGAGTGCTGGGAAAATGGACCAAATTGATTTTTTTTTTAAAAAAAAGTTTCTAAGTAAAATAGATGTAG